GATCCCCCACCCCAACTCGGCACAGGCGATAAGAATTAAGCAGCGCTGATGTCAGATCTGTAAGTTTATTTGCTCAATGTACGACGGCTACATAATGACTCACATTCATGATATTCCATCACTGAGGAAAAACTGCTAAGAATGGTCCGTGTGTGAAATAATTCCTTACAGAAACACGGAGTTGGAAAAATAATCACTGATTAGACCTTAAAAATAGTTCACTGCATAACATGACAAAAAGCACAAACAAAGGCTCATTCAAAGAACACAGTCATTGTTCTCCTACACTGTAATAGTTATAATTTCACCATGACGAACACCAGACATTAAGATTAAGCTAACACTGGTGTTTTCTTTTGCTTTTTTTTCCTTTTTAAAAACAAAATCATATATAATTGCATGTCACTATAGCAACATCCATAACAGATCAGTTTGTTACGATCACTATTTGGTAGAGCAAACTTTACCCCCGAAAGAAAAAAAAAAAATAAATTAAAAAACTTTAAAAAATTTTTGAAGACTATTTTGTCATAGGAATACATAACATCTACAGTATAAGTTAATAAATTTCAAGCTACTGTATAGAAATACGACACTAGCATGCACAATATTGTATCAATAGAGTAATGGAGCAGTAATCATTTCACTGGAGAGACAGTATCATAGGCAAGTGCATCTCTTAAAAAACAAAAGAAACCATTCAAGCTGCTTAAAAATCAAGTCCCTGACCCCCACTCCGTTTTTAGCCCTCTTGTGCCATCTCTCCTGCACACGTTTCCTAAAGCAGCCAAAGTTGGAAAGAAAAACAAAACAAAACAACAAAAAAAAAAAGGTTTTGTAATTCCAGTAAATCACTTCCAAATTATACAGCTGGGACAACACTGCTCACGGGACACGAGGGTCAATCAAAGGCAGGTAAGAAGCCTAAAGCGATCTTCCAGTCCACGGCACGTACCGGCGCGGCGAGCATCTTGCCGCGGGATGCTGCACACCGTACACCCGGCGGATGCGCTTGCTCGCTCGCCACGAGCGCGGCTGGGCAAGACTCTGCGTGCGAAGGCATCCCGGTCAAAAAAAAAAAAAAAAAAAAAAAAAAAGAAAAAAAAGCTTTGCCAGCATCGCCAGGGCAGCATCTGGAGGCCGAGCACCGGCCTCGGCTCCGCTCGCTCCCCGAGGAGTTGGGGTAGCGGCTTCGTTTGACTGCGGGGAGGGAGCTGGAGCGACGTCTCCCCGTGCAACCCGCCAGCAGCAGCAGCTGTACCGTGTGTGCAACACCACGACCCGCTGGTTGCGGACTGACTCTCGAAAGGGATGATGAAAGCCTGTTCCAAAATAATAATAATAAAGGAAAATCATGCACGAGTGCGGTTTTTCCTTACTGCGCAGCTTTAGGTGAAAAGCTACGTGGCACAGCACTCCGTGAGCAAGAGAACAGCAGTGAACTTCCAACAAAGATGTGAAAATCAAAATTAAAACTGAATTTACTCAAAATGGGGTAAGTATTACCTGCTAAGCAACTCAGATGCCCCGTCTCCCACCCCAGCCGGCTCAGACAGACTCGGAAAAGATTTTGCTAAGAAGAGAACTAAGTTCCTGGGTTCCCGATGGTTGATAGAAATGTCTATGATTGTAGCTCTTCCCTTGAGGATTTCTCTACCAAATTAGTTTCTAAGCTCCTGAAGTTCACTCATTACACCACAAGCTTCCCCAGGAGAAAGGAAAACGCACCCGGCTTCCCTGGTGACAAACAAGGGAGCCTGGGTGCCGGAGATCTGCTGACAAACCTCATGGTACAGTGGGAGAAAGTCAGGCAGAGTGAAATGGCAGTGCAATCCCTGAGGAAGCAGCTGTGGCACCTTAAATCAGGATGGTCTTTTGAAATACCAAACACAGTACATGACATACAGACCTGAATGCTCTTTTTTTTTATTTTTATTTTTTTATTCATTTTTTATTTAAGTGGCATTTTAAGTTTAAACACTTCCCCCTTGTCTAATTAAGTTCTTAAACCTTTTGCTGTGGACTTAAAATAGTTGAAACAGCCGCTAGCCAAGCACCTGTTAAGCTGTTGACCAAAAAACTAGAGCAGTTTTGATGTTCCTCGGGCGGGCGGTCTTCTTGCCTTGGGCGACACAGAATAGCTAAAGCCAGTCCACAGGCGAGGACTGATCAGGAAGGCAAGCCAAAAGAACTAGCAAAAGAAAAAAACAGACAATCAAAGGCTTGATGTCATATGGCTGTAATGTAGAAATACTGTAAACTGCAATTTAGTGTTAATACTGTAAGCTACCCTAATAAATATCGTAACAAAAAAAAAAGATTGGATGGCCTAAATCCCAGGGCTTTGCAAGCCCCCAATTCTTTAGTTAGATTTTTTTTTTTTTTTTAAATTCCTTCTCAATTTGGGGATTTTAAGCTATGCCCTGCCGGGCAGAGCGCTGCAGAGAGACGCCCCGCGACGCAGTACGGACACACGGCACTTGGACTGAAGAAACAAACGCACGAAGCCTTACTGGAACCACAGAACTCCCTTTTTTTTTTTTTGCGTTGCTTTCCTTAAAAACGAGGGCCATTCCATCCACGCAAATTCGTCTTAAAACCCTTTTATTTCTAGCGATAAAGTTAAATTAAAGACAGCTCCACTTGTATTAATAATCTACAGAACAGTCCATATGCCAGTGAGGCTGCTATTCCATACCAGCACAGCCAGCCTGACTTCCACTAGTGGTGTTTTGGCAAAAATGTCAACGAGGCAATCAAAGACAGGTTGTGGGGGGTCTCCCTGGGAAGGTGTCCCTTCCCTTTCCCTCCCCCACCCCTGACCCCCCCCCACTCGTGGGAAAAAAATAAAGACTGCAGTAGTTAGCATCAGCGTGCGGCTGCCAGTCCATCGTGGGGGGTCTAGTTGTTGCCTTCTCCGCCATCGTCGTCTTGCTGATCGCTCGTCCAGAGCGTTAGGTTGTCGCGGAGGAGCTGCATGATGAGCGTTGAGTCCTTGTAGGAGTCCTCGTTGAGGGTGTCCAGCTCGGCAATGGCATCGTCGAAGGCCGTCTTGGCCAGGTGGCAAGCCTGCTCCGGCGCGTTCTGGATCTCGTAGTAGAAAACCGAGTAGTTAAGCGCCAGACCGAGCCGGATGGGATGGGTTGGCTGCATGTGCTCCTTGCTGATCTCATGGGCTTCGCTATAGGCTTTCTCCGAAGACTCCACCACGGTCGCCCTCTTCTCGCCAGTGGCCACTTCGGCCAGGTAGCGGTAATAGTCCCCTTTCATCTTCAGGTAGAAGACTTTGCTCTCATACTGCGTCTCGCTGCAGTTCTTGATCAGGTAGTTGTCCAGCAGGCTCAGCACATCCTGGCACACCGCTTCCAACTCCTTCTCTATCTTCTCACGGTAGGCCCGGACCATTTCTATCTTCTTCTCGTTTCCATCGGCAGAGGTCTTCTGCTCGATGCTGCTAATTACTCGCCAAGAGGAGCGCCGTGCCCCCACCACGTTTTTGTAGGCGACGGACAACAGGTTCCTCTCTTCGTTGGACAGAGGCTCGTTCAGCTCCGTCACCTGCATCAAGAGAGGGAGAGAGAAGAGAGACACCTGGGTTAAGCCCCAGTCACTTGATGTTCCCATCACACGTTTGGGTGTTCCCATGCACCTCTAGCGAGAGGCAGAAGGCAGCTGGCACGCAAAGTCCTGCTCTGCCATCCAGCATCAGCTCCCATCCCAGAAGGAGCCAGCTGGGAAATCACACCGCAGTCCAGTCCACCAGCAAAAGGGGCAGGTTGGGTTTTATTTGAAGTATTCTCCATCTCTTAAAAAGATCAGCCTTTTCCAGAATGAGAAAAATCTTCCACAAGAGAGACACCTTTCACCTGCAGGATAAGAGTCGGGCTTTGTGATGCAGGCGAGAGGGACAGCCAAAGCAAGAGGGTGGAGATGGTCTAAGGTTATGAGCTAGCTGCATGGATTACCACCACCAGCGCTACGGGTGTTCATCTTTTCCGTTTCCTATAAGCACAGGGCATGCTTCTGAGATGCCTAAAGGATATGTTAGATGTTAAAATTACAGCTGCCTAAGGCATCTGCACAGATAAGGACTTAAAAGCTCACATGGTAAAAGAGTACGTTCCTCCCACGCAGGATTTTCTTCATTGAGGATAATAGTGCTAATGCACAGCATTGCTTCTACCTGCCTCACGCACCGCGGCAACAGAGGCACTAAGGAAATGACGGAGCACAGAGCCATCTCACAAGCAGGCTGCCAAACCTCACCTCGGCCAGCGCAGTTACTGGGAAGCATCACGCTTAATATTGCGATAATCTCATTCCAGCTCCCGCAATCCCACCGCCAGCTGAAGCCACCCGGGCAGCGCCTCCGGCAGCAGCGCAGCAGCCGGCCAACTGC